AATTACTTATAGCCTCCTCCAACAAAGACACCTGGTTGCCTGATAGACAAGAAGGAAATAATATAAGATTGCCTCAACGAGGCTCTGATACCATAAAACAAAAATTACTGAGGTGAAGTTTATGTAACGAGGCAAAAACGAGAATATTGGAGGAAATAAATTTCTCTTATTATCTGGATAGTTTAAATGAATTACATATGCTGTAAATAAATAGGATGTGGAGTATTAACAAACTCCTAAATTCACTCTAACAAATTAGAGATAAATCTGCCACTAAAAATATTAATCTAACTACTAGCATAACTTATTTTGACCTGGTAAAAACAAGAAATATGAAATTACTTACTAAACTAATTAAAATTAAAAATGCACTAATTTTCAACACCATCGTCGCCGGGCTGGACCTCAAAACGGCGTCGACCTATTCGGCTTTCATGGTCACCGGAGGCTCAATTGCAAACGTCGCCTGCCAGATGCTCTCGAGGCGCGGCGGCGGCGCGCCGCCGCTGATTGACTACGATACGGCGCTGCTATCGGAGCCGTGCATGCTGCTGGGGGTTAGTTTGGGGGTGATTTTCAATGTGGTTTTACCCGAGTGGCTAATTACAGTTTTTTTCGCCATTTTTCTGGCTTTTTGCACCTTCAAAACGTGCAAATCTGGGGTTTGGTTTTGGGGGATTGAATCGGAAGGGATGAGGAGAAATCGGTCAATCAAAATTGAGATTGACGAGAGGAGTATTGAACAGCCATTGTTGTGTAATGAAGTGGGTAAAGAGGAGAAATTGGGGGTTCCACTTCCATGGATGAAGCTTGGATTGCTGCTTCTAATCTGGTTTTCATTCTTTCTTTTATAAGTCCACTTCTTATTCAAATTGGAATGCAACCCGAGGTACGTTTTTTTTTTTTTTTTTTTTTTTTTGCCGATTCTTCACTTTATGTATATAAACAAAATTAACTTAAATGTGATTTTTTTTGTAGGTGACAGCAGCGACGTGTTCGTTCATGGTGTTATTCTCGTCGTCCATGTCAGCAATGCAGTACGTATTGTTGGGAATGGATGAGATATACGGTGCCCTAATATTGTCAGCGATTTGTTTTGTGGCATCGTTGATTGGGTTGACTATAGTCCAACGAGCTATAATGAAACACGGGAGAGCGTCGCTTATAGTGTTTTCGGTCGGTTTAGTGATGGCTCTAAGTACCGTTTTGATGACTAGTTTCGGAGCTGTGGCTGTTTGGAGTGACTACACTAGTGGCAAAAATATGGGGTTCAAGAAACCATGCTGAATAATTTTACTCTTGTCTGTTTATTGTGTGTGATTTTTGAGACAAATAAAGAAGTACAATACTAGGTTCTTACATCTAATGTACTTCAGAGGTGATTTATATCATGTTTAAAAAAATTTGTTGCAGTTCAGATAACCTTGTTTGAAATATGTACTGTGTTGTGTGTGTAAAAGAAAGTCATTTTTATAAGGACGATATTTTTTTATTTTAACACAAACAAATCGGATAAATTAGGGCCACCTTCTTCTCACGTACAATCATCCCCTTAACTAGAGCTGGCAATCGGGTCATGTGAGCCGAGCTTGGGTTGGCTCAAGCTCACATACCATCGGGCCTCGTTACTATAGGCTCAAGCTCACATACCATCGGGCCTTATTTGTATAGGCTCAAGCTCGGCTCATATATTTTTTCTGGTTTCGGGTTTATATCGGTCTCATTATTATATAATTGTAAAAAGCTTATAAAAATAAGTGATGAACAAGATTTGCCTCCATTGAAGCGAATTAAAAAAAAAATTAAACGATCTTTACAAGTTATTGGAAAAACTTGAAAATAAGACTGAAAGAAGTTAAAAAAGATTAGTAACTCTTATTATCGGAAACGTTTTATATTCTCAAATCTCGGTGATATATTGCATTTGATTCATATTTAACTTATTGCCACCGTCACTACTTAATTCTTTTTATTTTGACTTTTTTCTTTGCAAAATCAAATAATCTTATACGATCATAACTTGAATGTTGAGTCATAGCATTAAAATAATAACTATATTACATATTTTATTATTATCTTAATCCGTCGGGTCTTATTCGGGTTGAGTCATAATAGACTCAAACTCGACTCGTAAATAAACCGGGTTTAGTAAAATGGCTCAAACTTGACCTGACTCACTAAAAAGTAGGCTCGACTCAAATATAATCGGGCCGAGCCATCGGGCTTCAGTTAGGCCGACTCAATTACCGATCCTACCCTTAACTATGAATCTTCTTATAAAATCTTTTTTTTTTATTAGAATTTACGGAAACAATTAGATTTGAAATCAAATGAGTTATGAATAAATAATGATGGGAAAGGAATGAAAATATTTTTTCATATGAAATTTCAATTCCTTATTCGATTTCCATAATTGTGATTGGTAATTCATTAAAAGTAGATAGAAAAGAATTCTATTAATTATTGAATTGGTAAATAAAACGTGGTTAACAACTCTTAAATTTGGTAATTGAAAAGAATTCTATTAATAATTGAATAGCGGCTGTTTGGTTACACCCTCAATTTTGAGAGCTATAAATACTCGCCCAAAATTACAGTCTCAAAACCCTAAACCCTAATTTCTTCCCTCTTTCTCTGTCCAAACCCTCGCCGTCGCAATGGCTAAAATCCCGGAGGCGGAGAAACGCGCGAAATCCGAATCGGATTCCGACGAGGAAGAATCCGACGGATCTTCGTCTGAAGAAGGTTCGTCCGAATCCGGATCCGAATCCGAATCCGAACAAAAGCAACCCGCAGTCGCCAAAAAGCCGTCGTCTTTGCCTCCGGCAGCCGCCAAAAAAACCAAATCTCTGGTGCAGAAGCCATCGGAGAAATCAGAATCAGAATCTGAATCGGGATCCGAATCAGATTCCGACGAATCCGAAGCGGAAGTCGAGCAGGTAGCACCCAAGCCCGCCGCCGATCCACCGAAATCCAAAAGCGTCGCTAAAAAGCCAAACCCCCCCAAACCCGCCGCCGCCTCCACCGTCACTCCTCCGACGAAATCCACCGCCAAAAAACGCGCAGCCGAAGATAAACAATCGGCTGCCAAGGGTTCCAAGAAGCCGAAGGCGGACCCGGAAAACTCGGAGGCAAACTCCAAAGACGAGACGAAGAAGCAGCTCTTCCACAGGCTGTGGAATGAAGATGACGAAATTGCCCTTCTCAAAGGGTTGGCCGATTACAAGCAGAAGAAGAAAGCCGACCCGTACGCCGAGTTGGATTCGTTCCACCTCTTCATCGGCGAGAATCTCCACGTGGAAGTGACCAAAGCTCAGCTGCAGGACAAGATTAGGAGGCTCAAGAAGAAGTACGAGACCAACAAGACGAAAGACCAACCTAATAAAGACAAGAGCTTTTCCAAACCCCACGAAAAGAAAATCTACGAATTGTCCGAACCCGTCTGGGGCAATGTAGAAAAAGCAGTCGAAAAATCAGCTTCGGTGAAGAAGACACGTGGCAAGAGTGTTAATGTTGTCGAGAATGGTGAATCTGATGATGCGAAGAATGAGGAGAATGTTGTCGAGAATGGAGAATCTGATGATGTGGAGAATGAGAAGAGTGTGGATGTTGTTAGTGGTGATGTTGAAAAGGGTGCAGCGACGACGGGTTCCGATTATTCGAGCGTTCAAAATAGGATTTCGAGAATGGGGGCTGAAATGTATGAAGGTGCTGATGATGGGACTGAGTTGCAAAAACGGTGGAGAAAGTTGCGAGAGAAGGAAATGGAGATTCATATGATGAAGTTGGAGTTGATGCGTGATCAAACAAAGCTTGTTTTGGATGGTAAGAAATCTAGAAATCTTTGAGGTTTTTTTGGTTGATTTAATTTTAATATTCCTAAATATATAAATTTGATTTTAGTACTTATGGTTTTGTTTTGGTTTGTGTTTTACTGGTTTAGTTTAAGTACTCTTTTAAGGTTTGGTTTAATGGAGTTTTGATTGGAATTTGGGATGCTAATATTTTGTGTTCAATTATGCATGCAGAGTGTATTCTTGATTGAAAAATGATTAGGAATTAAAACATTAATATATGAATTAATGATATAGGTATTTTATTACATATTTATGTGATTCCTTTGGAATTGGACAACTCTTCAATGTCTGAATTCTGGATTTTCTTGTGTTGCAAATTTTAATGAAATGATTTTTAAGGTTTGAAAATTGCTATTTTCGGTTTATAACAAAAAACACTTTATCTCTGTAAAACCCCAAAACTTCCTAAAAAAATCCAAAAACCCCCCGAACCGCAAATAGCGAAGAGAATAAAAAAAATTGATTTCGAAATCAAGCTTGAAGAAGGTTGGGCTTCGATTTTTTGAGGTAATTTAGACTCGTTTATGTGTAATATGCATTGGGTAGGTCGGTTACGAAACCAATTTCATGTTAAAAAGCCCTACAAGGGGTTTTTTTTTCGCAAAAACATATTGGAACGCCGCCGCCCATCTTGGGCGTTCAATTAAATAAAAAAAAAAAATTTGCACTGGACGCCCAACTCGGGCGCCCAAATGCTGCTTGCACGCCCAACTTGGGCGTGCCTGCATGAATGGGCGTCCAAGTTGGGTTTTACGCGTTTTGGGGGGGTTTTTGTATTTTTTTGGAAATTTTGGGGTTTTAGAAAGATAAAATATTTTTTGTTATAAACCGTAAATAGCAATTTTCAAACCGTAGAAAGCAAGTCCCAAATTTTAAGGTATTTGTTTGTAGCAAGTAAAATGCCAAGTAATCTCAAACTTCTACTTATTGAAAAGTTTTTTTTCCCCAAACATTTCCTATAATCACAAATTAATATGAATTGCTACAATGAGGAATAGTTACAAATACATCCCCTAAACTATTTCTCTGTCTTATAATTACACTAGTGAGTAACGAAATCTTGAAGATTCTATGGAATTTGTTCTGAATTTCTAAATCTACCCCGATGGAGTAATTTACTCGTTGTTTGTTTGTTTAAGTAAAAAGAGTACTTTTGACAATTCGAAATTTTACTACTAATTTTGGGGGTATTTATAATTACTAGTAAATATAGATATTTATATGTTATTTAGTCTGATTTCAAAGGTATCGGTAATTTAGTGAAAAAACTATAACAAACAACACCAATTTAAATAAAGTTTAGATAAGCAACAATATTATATATTTACAACAAAAAAGAACCAATTTTATGAATTAGGATCCCGAACCTCCCCGTAAAATCCCCACGGAGTACCTGCCTCGCAAAATCCTCAAATTACAAACCCTAATCAAAATTGACAAAATCTAAAACCAGAAATCAGAAGGGCATGTCTGGTTCAATTTAAGTGATAGATTGAGACACACACCGACAATGCACAATCCATGTATCGATCAGCTTATATTATTGGGTTAAATACAAAAACACCTCTATATTATGAACTTTGTATCATTTACCCACGTGTACTACACATAAATACAAAAAAACCCCTCACATTGCATTTTTTCCAGAATATGACGAAAATACCCCTACTCAAGTATATATATATATTTTACCATCTTCAGTCAATTTTACGTTGAAAATTTTGGTATTTATACTTTTTTCTCCAAAACATCTGATTGCTTACATTTTTTTTATTTTCTAAATAAAACCTTTTATTTTTGTCATTTTGAGTTTCTTTTTTTTTCTTAAATGTTTTCCGATAGTTCAAATATCCTAAGATTACAAACATCTTTACAATCCTATTATTGTTGAGAATTTCAACTACCGAAAGACATTTAAGAAAAAATGAAGAAATTCAAAATGACAAAAATAAAAGGTTTTATTCAGAAAATTTAAAAAAAAAAAATCTAAGTAATTAAATGTTTTGATGGAAAAAAAAAAAAAAAAAAAATTTCCCTAGTAAAATTGACCGAAAATGTTAAAAAAATATAGTGGAAAATGGCTCAAACAAACCCTTATATTATAGGTTTAGCAGGGGTATTTTCGTCATATTCTAGAAAAAATGCAATGTGAGGGGGGTTTTTGTATTTATGTGTAGTACAGGGGGGTAAATGATACGAAGTCCATAGTACAGGGGTGTTTTTGTATTTAATCCAATATTATTTGATGGCTTTTAAGCTGTCTTGTCCTTATCAACAATTTCTCTTTGCAATAACAATTTAAACATTTTAACCTAAATAAGTTATTACAAACACATCAACTTCTAAATTTGCTAATTACCTAATTATTTCAGGCTTAATTCATAATCACCAACCTAATGCTTTCCAAAAAGCTTTTCTGCAAATGCTAATCCTCTCCTATAAATAGCTGCATTTAGCCATGCTGGACTATAATCACTTTTCTATACAATCTCTAAAGCTTATTTTAAATAATCGCTTTTATATTATTACTGCAAAAAAAAAATTATATATATATATATTCTGGTCAACATGGCAGTAATCTGCAATGGGTCAACGTATTTATTCCGGCCTTCTCTTCCAATTCTTGTTACTGATTTTGGAAAGACGAAACGGTGTCGTATTGCATGTGTAAATCTACTACTAATGAAAATTGGGGCATATGCACACGCCAACAGTATCAAAATACACACATTTTTCCGGTTAATTAATTAAAATTTCATATCAATTAATCCACTGCATTTTTTATTTTTTTATTATTATTACATGTTGCATGCAGGTTGATCAGTTATATTGCAGTGATAATTACGAACACAAACTAGACAACGTAAGGAGCTTACTCGTGAAGTCAACCGAAGAAGAGAACTTGATCCTGGTCGATGCAATCCAACGGCTAGGAATGGGCCGCCATTATCAGGAAGAGATTCACACGATTCTCACACACTACTACGCGAAGAAAAACGGAGATAGTAATACCACTTACGGACGCTACTCTCTTCACGATGTTTCGCTTTTGTTCCGATTATTAAGACAGCAAGGATACGATGTTTCTTCTAGTCTTTTCGTTTCCTCTCTCTCTCTCTCTCTCTCTCTCTCTCTCTCTCTCTCTCTCTCATAATAGTGCAAAACATCTACTCTGTTTCCCCTGTTTTTTCTTGAAATAGTGGAAATACTAATATATATATCGAATATTTAATCTGGCAGAAGTGTTTAATAATTTCAAGGGCGACGACGGAAAGTTCAGAGGAGAACTAAGGCAAGACGTAACGGTATTGTTGGAACTGTACGAAGCTAAACAATTGAGTTTCGAAGGAGAAAAAATACTCGACGAAGCAGAAGATTTCAGCCGCAAACTTCTCTATCGATACTCAGCAGATTGCAAGAACAGCAGTTTTGCTGACCGTATTATTACGAGATTGAGACATCCTTATCATAAGACCATAACAAGATTGGCCGAAAAGAACTTCCTAACAGATTTCGGCACCGCGAATAACGGGTGGGAAAAACCGTTGAAAGAGCTGGCAGAAGTCGATTTTCTAGTCGGGAAATCTGTATACCAAGAGGAACTGCTAGAAGTGTCCAAGTAAGAACAAAAAAAACGTAATTTTGTTATTGATTCCTTAAAATTTCACGAAAGAATATTCTCGTTTTTTTTTTTTTTTTCAGGTGGTGGGACGGTCTAGGATTAACTAGAGAACTAAAGCTAGCAAGAAACCAGCCACTAAAATGGTACACGTGGTCGATGGCTATTCTGATAAACGATATCAGCTTGTCGAAGCAGAGAATCGAACTTACAAAGTCCATAGCTCTTATTTACCTGATAGACGACATTTCGACCTTAC